TTGCGCGCGCAAAATGCCCGCAATACTGGCGTGGCCGTACGCTCACTCAGATCGATGGACTTTATGTGCATTGTAACCGTATTTTATTCGATATAACAGAGGTCCATTCAAATTTTGAACTTACCAAGGCCCTTATACACGTGCATCCAAGGTCCAAAGAAAAGGGGATCTGAGAGGTGACGCGTCATATTTCGTTAATCTAGATATCTGTATTCTTCCTTTTTCATTTATATTATGAAAATTCTCATACTCTGATAATTGATTAAAATGATGTCAGAGAATTTTCCTGTTCCGCGTAATCCCCTGGGGATTCACAGTGGATAGCCTTTTGTTTTCAAGGTCGTCTTCTCAGGAAGTCGATAAAAACGTCGTAAAGTTGTATGCTGGATTTACTCCAGCAATTTCTAGGGATGTTTTCGACAAAACAAACGAATTGTGCAGTTTTTGAGTTTTTCGAACCTCAGCTCGCAAACAGAGGTTCGACGAAAAAATCGATATCGTAATAATTTCTATTTCAAAAATGTTTAGCGTGTCATAGTATACCGGGTACAATTCCATAGCATTTTCATCGAGGTTGTAGGAGGATAATCTATTTCGGAAATACAGGGTGTCCAAGTATGTATCGAACGTTTGATCGTTAATATCTCTCTTCCCAAGAAGTCTTTTGCCTTGCTTCAAGTACCATTTTGTAGAGCTAGCTTCAACTTAGATTTGCATTATAGAACGAATCACTCATTCCTCTTTATTACTGTAGGATTACGGTAGAAACTTCAAAGAGGGTTTTAAGCAATGAAAGGCCATATTTTGCCTTAGAAAGGAAATAAAACAGCCTGAAAGTTTTCACACTAGGCTAATTAGAGTTGCTGATTATAACTGTAAAGTTCCCAACTTATTATGATGCTTCATTGAGGAGTTATGCCAGGTAAGAGGTAGCGGCCATTTTTTCAATGTTCCTAAAAAGTGCGATTACACCGTTTAGAAAGCTTTGTAATCTTGTGAATAGTTGAGTATTGAACTCAGCATCCATAAAAACCCTATTACACAAGTTTTCACAATTTTTTGAAGAATTTTGGAACTGCAGCTTTTTCCACATTGACACCATATGTTTCAAGTTTCTACCGTAATCCTACAGTAATGAAGAGAGATGGGTGATTCGTTCTTTAATGCAAATCTAAGTTGAAGCCAGCTCTACAAAATGGTACTTGAAGCAAGGCAAAAGACTTCTTGGGAAGAGAGATATTAACGATCAAACGTTCGATACATACTTTTGGGACACCCTGTATGAGCTGATTCTTGGTGATCTTCAAGAAGATCACATGAAACAATGAAAATCTCTGTATGGCAATGCTCTGTCATCCATTATACTCAAATATTAGGGTATATGCACCTTCATAAGATGGATAAAAAGGAATGATACACATACCTAGAGCAGCAAAATATGACGCGTCCCCCCTCAGATCTCCTCCTCCGATGTGCGTGATGTGGAGACACCTGACCTGCAATTTTATAGCACATGCAGAGATATTGCTCAACGAAGCGGGATTACCAATAGTGGTAACCACTGCAAATGCTTTTGAATCGCAATCCATTTTTCAACTAGCGTGATTTCTGATGGACGAAATCATTGTGGTAAACAGGGTGTCTAAAAACTACACAGGGTGTTCAAAAAATGTGCCTACTGTTTGATTGTCAATAACTCTATTGTAATAAAGTGTTTCGAGAAGCTTTAGGTAACATTTTGTAGAGCGAGGTTAACTTAGATTTACAGTATGGAGAGTACGCTTTTCATTACTGTACGATTACGGTAGGAACTTCAAGCACGTGGTGTCACTGTGTAAAAAGCTGCCTTTTCAAAAATTTTCAGAAAAATGTGGAAAATTGTGTAATAGGGTTTCCATGGACGTTGAGTTCAATACTCAGTTATGTACAAGATTGCGAAACTTTTTAAACGGTGTAACCGCAATTTTTGAGGACATTGGAAAAACGGCCGGTACTGCTTGCCTCGCACAACTTTTTGATGAAGCGTTATGAAAAGTTGGGAACTTCACAGTTAGAACCAGCATCTCTAATTAGCCCAGTGTAAAAGTTTTCAGGTTGTTCTGTTTACTTTCTGAGACAAACTATGGCCTTTCATAGCTCAAAACCCTCTTCAAAGTTTCTACCGTCATCTTACAGTAATGCACTGTAAATCTAAGTTGAAGTTAGCTCTACAAAGTGGTACCCAAAGTTTCTCGAAAGACTTCAACACAAGTGAGGTAATAATAATCAAACAATAGACACAGTTTTTGGGATACCCTGTATATACACTGCGTTAATATCGTTAATATATCTCTTCGTAAGAAGTGTTCTGCCTATCCAAAAATCATTTTGTAGAGTTGACTTCAACTTAGATTTACTATGGAGCGAATCAACGATTGCTCTTTATCACTTTGGGATTACGGTAGGGAATTCCAGCATACAGAACCATTGTGAAATGGGCCGTCTAACAGAATATTTTTACAAAAAATCTCGAAAACTGTTTGGCAGGATTTTCGCGCATGCTGATGTCACTATACAGCTTTATCTTATATATAAAGCTGGATGTCTATTTGCATGTCTGTCTGTATGTATGTACGTCTGTCTGTCTGTATGTATGTATGTACGTATGTTCCGAATAGAAATTTTTATTTCTGAACCGATCCGGATCAAACTTGGCACAAATACATTTTGGGGCAGGGAGCGTGTCATAGGCTACTTTTCGTTATCGATCAATATCGATTTTATCGATTTATATCGATTTTTTGCAGAGTCCACCTACTGGGCTGGGAGCTGGCGCAGGAAAGTGAGCATGGGTAGTTTTTAAAACGTCCATGATTTTATCGACTTTTGCAAGGTTTGAGTTATGGGGCTGAGATTTGGCACAGGGGGATAAGTGAGCATGAGGATTCCGAATAAAATATTAGTTTTTAAAATTATTCTTTTCTATCGATTTTATCGATTTTTTTGCAAAGTTTGAGCTACAGGGCTGGGAGTTGGCACAGGGGGGTAACTGAGCATGCTGATGACTAACACAGCGGGAATAGGGAATTGGCATGTAGAAGTGGGCACAGGGAAAGGTTGGTTGTACTGGGATAGGGATGGGACTTTTGTCATAGTGTTTTGAAAGGCCGGGCGGAGCCGGGAAGCCAGCTAGTATTCCAAACTTTTTTGATGGCGCAATCGTATTTTTGAAAAATAATGAAAAAAAGCCAGTTACGGTTTACCCGTAATAACCTATGAAATAAGTAGTATAGAGTAAGATAATAACTTCATATTTAGGATCAGTGGCTTCGATTAATCTAGTATAAAAGTTTTCCACATGTGTGGTTTCTTTGTGAGGAAAATATGGCTCTCAGTAATCCAAAATCCTTTTCAAAGTTTCTACCGTGATCCTACACTAAAGAAGACGATCGATGATTTGCTCTATACTACGGATCTTAGTTGGAGCTAGCTCTACAGATACCTAAAGGCATCCCAAAGATTATTTGGAAAAAATATCAACGTTCAAACAGTGAATATATTTATATTACTAGCGGCCCTACGGGCCTAGTTAGTGGGTCGAGGCAAATTCGTGGACATTACCAGAAAAGAACGATAACGCTCAAAGCCCAAATTAGCCTAACAAGGGAAGCGTCTTTAGTCGAATGGCCTTTCCAAACGGAGTCCTATATCACTTTGAAGAGCGTTAAACGCTGATTCGAAATCTGTTTTCGCTATCTGCCAAACGCCCCTGGGCGCGGAGTTATGTTTTTTGAAGCAAAAAATGAACGCAGAATCTATGTAAAAACAGTAATTACAATATTTCCTGCGCTCAAATAAAGCACTGTTGAGGGTATAAGGGTATTAGACAGAAGGTATTCATCAGGTGAAGTGCTCCGATAATGAACACCTGATCATCTAAGCAGTCTTGGACTTTTTGTTCCAGTTATGCATTCAGTTTCTCGAAATAGAAAGTGCACATAACTCGGCCTCCAGAGGCGCTTGGCAGATATGGAAGACGGATTTGGAATCACCGTTCAATGCTCTACAAAGTGATATAGGTGACATGTGGAAAGGCCACTTCGACTAAAGACGCTTCCCTTGTAAGTTAAAAAAATCACGCAATTATTTGGAGGCAGTTTGACTGATTCGTTATGCTATCGTTAGCTGCGAAGCATCATTCCAAAAGAAGATTGTGACTTTCTTCGCGAGCTAAGTTTGCTGTTTCTGATGTTGTAGCATCACCGTCTAAACACACGCAAATGCATAGTACTCCCTATAGAGCAAAAAAAACCTGACTTTGTAATATTTGGTATACCGGCATTTTTTAGGGCAAATGTTCATTACAGAGTGTCTAATTATATTCAGTAAGTTGATGATCACGCATATTAATAATTTCGTATAGTCTGTCCCAATCCCAACCAGGTCGAAATGGGCAATGGCCCTCGTCGCCAGGGTTTTTGCGCCACGCCCACAGTTACCTCGTCTGTTCTCGCTTCAATCCCTTAGCTTTTTCTGACAGTGCGCATACGCAGCGACAACGATTGGGCCTGATCCCAATTAGGACAAACTGTACGTTGAACTGCCAGCGGCCTTAGCGGCTTATAAGACATTTGAAATGAGTTTATCCCTTCTATATATTTTCAATTCGGTGTTATGTACATAATGTATATTTTTACTGCGTTTTCATAATGCCAGGTGAACATTACAGAGCTTTGAAATCATTTCAGACAACTTCAAAAGCAGAACTGTTTCCATCGTTTTATTAAATGCCGGTAGGCTATTGTCTCAGGATTAGCAGTAGGAGGCAGTTGTTTATACAATGCGATTAGCGATGAAAACAGTGATACAGTGAGTGAGTAGTATTAAAACAATATCTTACGAATAGATGTAGAGTGTATGAAAGCATGTGTTAACAGAAGATGTTGTGATTGTGCACCGAGTATGAGAGTGAGGGGAGGGGGTAGATGATAGCTCGACTTCAATCCATAAGCCGGTACCGTTCAATTTGACATCCTGAAAGCGTTGCAAAATGGTGTCCAAATAGTAACCAGGAAAGTAGATATGCCGCAGTTAGCGGTAATAGTACGATTAGGCTGCGTTCATACTGATCTCGAAGTCCGGGAACGGTTTTAGCACAGCGCTCAATTTCGAGCATTGTGCTGGAAATATTCCCGGACTTGAAGATCAGTATGAACGCAGCCTTAGTGAATGCAAACGTATCTCACTGATAGAAGGTTAAAACTCCATCAACGCAATCAAAAAAACTACCTACTGCTACTTATCCATAGCAAGAATGACGCATCCTATTGCAAATAATTCAACGAAGATACAAGAAATTGCGTAAACATGTTACGTAATGAATGTTACCCACTGATTACTACGGAAGCTGATAGAAGCTGCAAAGTTCCTAGGTTATGATAAATGAGGGCATTCAGCGTTGATGGCAGGAACATTTTCGGGTACAAAGATGAAAACCGATATGGTTTACTGAAAAAGGAAACGATTAGGGATCGACCAAAGCAAACCAGAAACAACGACCTAATGTCGTTGCAGCATAGAAAGCGTGGGGCTTATTTATAGTGAAAATATTGAAAGTCCTGAAAAACAAACTAACATGTGATTGATTTTAGATGTTAAATGCTGTTCATAAATCAGAGTAGCGCATGAAACCTCGAAGTACAGTCGTAATTTGGCGAAGCAACCAGTCAGAGAAACAAAGTTCGGTGATAACCGCTTCACTGGAAAAAAAACAGTAGACAAATAGATTGTCGAACGATGAAAAGAGTCACCCAATGCTGTTGATCCATAAAAAGCGATACCTTGCTGTAAATTATGAACAAAAGTTTTAGATGTTGCTCGAAGTGATTCACTACAGTTGTGATCCACTCCTAAACTGATGGCCTCCAAAACATCCAAGTACAGGGCATCAGGATGAAGGGCAATAAACGAAGTGTCAACATAATTGCGTTATAAAACTGCGCCACTGAAAAAGGAAACAGTAAAAAGACGATTTAAGCCAAAAAAGAACTACCTGATGCTGTTGATGCGGAACAAGCGCGACGCTCTTATAAGAGATGTAACGATGAGGATATGATGCAGTAAACGTAATGTGTTATAGAGGGGATCCATTGGTGTTCAAATAAAGGTAACTAAAGTCTTCAAGTAGAGTTGCGGTTTCGATCGAGGGGCAGTTACAATAACGGTAAGAAGGCATCAAGTGCAACGATGTTTTATCGGAAAAGATAAAAATTAAAAGTTGGCCAACGTCTGATTGAAGGGCCTACCTAACGCTTTCAAATCGTCATAAGCTTAACGCTTTCTTGTCGCAGATGTCCGATAGAAGCACAAAGTCAAACCATAGTAAGGGCAAAGCAGAGCAATCACTGTAGTGAAACAATGCTGAGGACCTTTCACTGAAAAGTGAAAAAATGAGAATCCGACCAGCCTCTAATCAGAACAAATACCTGCCACTGTTGATGCACAGCCCACAGCATACAAGGTGCATCTCTTATGCACGACGTTAAGATACGGAAAACGCATGCGATTATCCATGAATATGATGCATAGCCACACAACGACTGGAATCCATATAGGCTTTGATTGATCAACCGTGGCTACGACGAGCGGGAGCATCCGCCGGCAGTAAGGGAACAGTTTCGCTTACGATAAGCCTACCACTATGGTTTACTGAAAACGAAACAATGAGGTATCGATCAAGGCTCATACCGGAAAAGATGAAAATGAAAAGTTGAAGGGGTGAAACCAGGTTAAGGCCTTCCAAGTACTGGGTTTTCAGACCTAGCCATGGAAGGACTAGTGCATTCTCTATTTATTTCCGTCACTTTGGTGGGCGACAACGATTTCGTTCCTTATTTGAGCAGGAGTTTTTTGTTCGCACATCAAAAATGTTACAAGAATTACCACACGAACTTTTGGCATGCAGTGATAGTTCCTCTTTCAGAAGAGAGCTTAAAAAAAGAAGATTAAATGACTTTTTTGCAGGTTCAACGTACCTTACTTCCGTTCTTTTATGACTGCGCGGTTACAACCAGACATGTGCAATGAGCATGATTGGGTTACGAATATGCACTGACTAGCAGCCAATTTATAACTTTGCATATGTTGAACTCAACTGCTTTTGAGCCTTTTACTAACACTGTTCTCTTCATCATGTGGTTCAAGCCTGGTCACATCTATATTTTAGCCTGTTTCGCACAGCTTGCTTGCTTTGATTGCTTGAAGATCATATTATGCTTATTCTTGCTTTGGAGTTGGGCACTCCTCGGCAAACTGGTTGAACTATAAATTCCGGTTTGTTTCTTGGAAATCTTTTGAGATCGTGGCTAGCAAACGAAGGGGCATGGATACCATCTCCTTAGATAACAATTTGTTTAGATTCATTCGTTGTGCAGTACTTGACGATATTCTGTTTTGCACATATGGCAATGCTCATGGAGTTTTGGGTTCTCCCCGGCAGGCCGGTGGGTATGTACGCGCCGTCGTTTGCTTGTTTGAATACTTTAAGATCGTTTGCTGGCTAACGCGGAGGCATGGGTTCCATATCTGTGGATATAACTCATCATTGACATTCGTAATATCCAGCAGTCTTCTTGCAAGCTAAGTTATTCTTTAGTTTTATGAAGTCTGGGCCTGAAGCATATGATGTTCTGTTGTTATTCGTGCTTTGTGTAGAACTAACAATTACACTGTTTGTTTCTGTTTTTTTTATGGTACGCCTTGAGCGTATTCAATGAAAATGAAAAAATGAAAAAATGAAAATGAAAGTTGGCCAACGTCTAATAGGCCTACCTAACGCTTTCAAATCGTCATAAGCTTAATGCTTTCTTGTCGCAGATGTCCGTTAGAAGCACAAAGTCAAACCATAGTAAGGGCAAAGGAGAGCAATCACTGTAGTGAAACAATGCTGAGGACCTTTCACTGAAAAGTGAAAAAATGAGAATCCGACCAGCCTCTAATCACAACAAATACCTGCCACTGTTGATGCACAGCCCACAGCATACAAGGCGCATGTCTTATGCACGACGTTAAGATAATGATGCACAGCCACACAATGCCACACAACAATCCATATAGGCTTTGATTGATCAACCGTGACTACGACGAGCGAGAGCATCCGCCGGCAGTGAGGGAACAGTTTCGCTTACATAAGCCTACCACTATGGTTTACTGAAAACGAAACAATGAGGTTCGATCAAGGCTCAATAAAAGAAACGATCTTACTGCAAAAATAACAAGGAGTGTTTCCTTGCGGCAGATTTAGTGATGTAAGCGTGGCAGACATGAAGCGTAATCCATTGTAAATGTGATTCGTTACTGTTCATAGAGCGAGGATAGAAACTTCCAAGTATGATCGTGGCTCGACTGAAAACGCTAGCGATAAATAGGTAGGCTGATAGGAGAAAATGAGAAGAGAATTGACATACAACTGAAAGAAAAACCTAAGGCTTGAACCGTAACAAGCCTCGCGGATCATTATTGTAGATCCGATAAAGTACGTAAAGCTGCACGACTCGTGATGGACAAATGCGTATGTGATAGATTTGTGGGAATTGCACGACACTCGGTGAGACAACGCGCATACATACAAAAAAGTATCCGGGGAGGTTCTCATCGTTCTAATGCTGTCCTAGTAATGAAAAAAACAAAGGCGTGCGATTTCTATGCAAAGAAACTTTAGGACTTAGAAGAAAATATAAGCAACAATGCGCAAAAATCCTAGGCAAGATCATCAAATCAAAAGCTATATAGGGCAAATCTGGGCACCCGGGCAGTGCCGTACTGTCAATCTGTCAGTAACCATGTGCCAAATTTGTTAGACTACTGTAGAACTTAGCTGAAAAGTGTGCAATGTTTTGATGCGTTTATTAGCGAGGTATGTACGCAATTGAACGTAATGTTTTGACCAGCTTCGCCAAAGCTAGAAAGACTACATTGCATTTATGAGAACTTCACCGGAAACCATTCATAGTTTACGGTTAAGAAATGTCAGTGAGAGGGCGAAGCCAGTAGTCTGCGTGATATAAAATGGAAGTTTGTAAGTTTCGTGCTAGTATCCTCAGATTATTATTACCTACAAAAAAATGCTTCTAAATCGTTCCTATCCATCATTTAGTAGGTGTTATAGCATGTTTAATTGGTTCATCTTGTTGGACGCAAGTGCAGAGTGTGGAGTGGCATTGGGTTTATGAGCGTACTATTTCGTCGTAAACAACATTCCTGATTACTGGAGCTTGAGGGACTGCTTCGGACCAATTTCTCGTGACTTTTATACCGCTGCTGCTCGTGCATCGCGATAATGCCACATAAGTACTGCCATGCGCGAACGAGGGAGTTCGCAGAATAACGCCCACTTTATCGAATGACTGTCCTTGACTTTTGTTGATTGTCATGCAGAATGCAAGCCGAATTGGGAACTGGAATCTGCAGAAACCAACACCGGGTAATCCATGCAAGCCGTCCTCCTCTACAGACGGTGTATCTATTCCGACTAAATCAACCGTATCTCCTGCTAGCTTCTCCAGCCCTTTATGTTGAGTTCTTCTACGTCGCAGTTACGCACGGTCAGCAAAGCAACTCTCGCGAGCATTGAGGAATCATTCAAGAGCTCGGGTGTATAGATCCATTCGATGACATCATCTTCGGTAGTCATGCACATAGAGGATGGTAGCAAAATGTTGTCGTCACTGTAGAAGTTATCCCCATTTCCGACGGAAAGAAGCCATCTTGTATATTGCTCTTCTTCGGCACCCATCCTCAGATTCTCATCGAGAGTGAAAGTCGTGAAGTGTCTCCAAAGTTGGCTATTCTTGCATGTAGAATCTAAAGTCTCTTGTCGCGTGCCGCCTTGTATGACTGATAAAAATTGGCACCAATCTCCTCCTAAAATCATGGTAACACCACCAAAAAGGGTGTGGGCGAGAGATGGTGCAGCAACATCGCGGAAAAGCCTTTCGACGCATTCTAAAGCAAAACGCGATTGCATCGAAATTTCGTCCCAGACGATAACATCCACGGTGTTTAGGATTTGACCGATAGGTGACGATGCTTTCACATTAGCCGTTGATCAACTATGAAGTTTTTTTACCGGTAGACAAAAAAGACTGTGCGCTGTCCTTCCGTGTTTCAACAGCGTAGCAGCACTGCCAGTTGATGCCGTCGATAGAACTCGTTTGCCCTCTGCTTCCAATAAAGTGATCAAGGCGTTTAGTGTGCGAGTTTTGCCAGATCCCGCCCTTCCATCTATGTAATAGAGTTTTTTACCACTTCCTTTGGGTAGTCTAGATTCAGCCATTATCGCACTAACAATTCGTTCTTGTGCAGGTGTCAAATTTTCTGCGACGTTGTTGATGTGTTCTTCAACTTCTGGGCTTACTCTGCCACCAAGGTCACCGCCGCATTCAATCAAAAGAGCATCTTTGGTACTCTTTAGTTCACAGTCTTCCAAGGATGCACCATTGTTTTTCAATATGGTTTCGATGTAAGTTAATGAACGCATATCTAATAAGCTTTCTGATTCCGTGGAAGTTCGGCAACGTGTTCTCATTGAGTTCTTATGAAGATTCCACAACTGCACTGGATCTGTTGGCCGACAGTACAGAAGGATTTGAGCGTAAAGTTTTCGCATAGCAGAAGGCCTAGCGATAGCAGAAGCACTCTCCAGGCACTCTTCTGCCACTCCGTTTCCGTGGCAATATAACCGGCAGCCTCGGCTGCTGCCATGAAACTATCATAAATAACGCCGTTGACAGTGCGAAGATATTCAAACGATGAAGCTCCGCGAACTTGAAGAAGTATTCGGTACAGGCCATAAGGCCTGTCAACCCAAAAAATAGTGAACTTTATGCACTGCGAATACTTCTTGCAAATACAGGTGCGGTTCTGCTATTATTTCGTCTACGATACAACGGATATCCATCATCAGTGAGTTCGGCAGCATCCCGGAATGGCTTCGAAATGTTTGTCGCAAAAAGCAGCATTTTTCGAGCGACAAGCAAGATCTGGACGTGACTTGCAAGGGCCGTGCACCATGAAGCGAGTCACTAAATTGAACAGTTGCAGTTTTGTAGCAACATCCGGATCGTCGGTTGTGGGATATTCCGGAAGTTCTGCCGATATGCATGCGTCGATTTTCTTGGAGTATCAAGTTTTTCGCGCAGGGTGACGAGTATGTGCGCGTGTGGCATGCCTCTCTTTTGAAATTCGACGCTTACTGTAAAGGAAGTACTTCTCCAAACACCTTCTTGTCGACAATTTCTTTGATGAAACTCTGCAGACGAAGTCTGAACACCCTCGCGCAAAGAAGGGGATCGGTTATCCAAGAATCAAAACGAGTCACCAGATTTTCACGTATCTCTGGCCAATCCTGGTTGCCGGTGAATGTTATAAAAAGATCAGGTTTTCCTAGGCGTTGAGCGACAGCCATTGCATTGTGATAAAGCTGATCATACCATAGCGTACTGCCAACAAAGTAACGGGGCAAATTTATGAATTTGCCGAGCTTGAAACCCTTGTCCTGTAGTTGCTGATCCAAGTAAGTGTACAGTGTTGTGGCTTTGGTACCTCTGATTTGTGTGGTGTTCCTACCGATGGCAGAAAGAAGGTCCGCCTCAATTCTGGTGTAGACGTGTATGATAAACTGAGATAGCAATTCGCCGCTGCCATAAAAACGATGCTCCAACAACTCAGATAATCGCCGGGGGCAGGCGGTCCGCAAACTCGCGCTTTTCTGCAGGCGGTCAGCAGAATTTTGGGGCGTGGCCAAATCTTCAGCGGGCGGCACTTCCTTTACGGTCGCATATTCTGCCAGCGGGCAGCAATACTGCATTTTTTGCAAGCGCTCGGCAAATAATTTCTTCCAGCGAGCGCTGGCCAAACTTTCAGCAAGCGCTCGGACTCTTTTTAGGCATTTTCGGGCGTACGTCGAGCGCAGGTAAGACTCTGTGTGGCAGAGGTGTCACCGTTGGTTTAATTACTCAAGTTTGAGGTACTTTCTCCCAGCGGAAAGTACCTGGGGGTTGCGCGGTCCTCCACAAAGGACTGTGCGGCCCCCGAAATTTTTGCATATTCTCGCGGAAAGTCCGCGAGAATGCGGCCACTGCGCCGCAGCTAATCCATAAAGAAACCGCGATTGTTCTTCAAGCATTCGTCTTTAATTTCGCCAACTTTCTTCCAAATTTCTGCAAGCGGGCGGCAAAAAATCAACGAACTATTTTCCGGTGCGCGCTTGCTCAGAATTCGCATGGCCGCCTGCCCCCGGCGGTTATCTGAGAAGTTGCCACGCCGCGAAAGGATAAACCGATAAAAATCGCCACGGGAAAGGAACTTAGGGGAAGGAGAATCCGTTTGGTCATTTTTGTCTTGGTCATCGGAGAAAAATAAATCCGTCTGATGTGATTCATCCGCAGTGATATCAACTGGAGCAGTTCGCTTTCGAGTTAACTTCGGCAAGCTTTCGCGCACGAAGCTTTGCTCACCCTTGGGGAAGTAGAGAGGGTATGACATGGCATCAATATTGTTGTTATGATAAGCGGCAATTGATTGCCCTCCTCTACTGTAGACACGCAATCCTTTATCGAGTTCGTCCTCAGTGGGGAAGACACCGTTGCGACAAACATATATAGCTGCAACCACATTGTCTACCTTAGGTACATTCAAACGTGCTTCATGAGTATTGGACGATACAGTATCTGGTAGCTCTCGTTTGTGTTTCAAGTTCATCAGAATTTGTGGTAAGACGTCTTCATCCTTGATGCGCAATGCATTGGCTTCAGCAAGGTAGACCTCATAAATTGACTGGTAAGCTCTGGCAATTACGTTGTCCTTCCGCAAAATAGTGATTATCTTTTCAACAAGCTCGTAATCAATTTTCATCTTCCACTCAGACATGGTTTCATTCAACGAATGTCTGGACTTGTAATCATCGCAAATGTAGAGCTGAGCAAACGATGCTATAGCCGAGTCTGGGTTTAGGTGACAAATTCCTACATCCACTGTTCCCTGTACAACCAATGGTAATTGTCCGAATCCTGTAGGAAACTGGCGCATATTCATACTCAGACCAACAAAAGCAACAAGGTTGTTGAGGGCACGGAACATATAATAGAGCTTTTCATTAGAGCGTGCTTCCACCCACAACCAATTCAATGTGTCATCCCTTTTAAGCGATAAAACCTGCTCGGGCACTATATTCACTCCAGCATTGCAGCATAGAGACTTGGGTTTCCCTTTGAAAGAGACAGCAAAGCAAAGTCGACATATGATATTCATAGGGCCGAGATGGAGCGCTGGTGATATAGGTTTTGGTGCAGGCAATTCTTTTTCGGTTGTAACAGTAGGAGAAGCATCATATGCAAGACGATGAATGTAGGCTGGATGCAAACGTATGGTACTCATGGAAAGAGTGATGGATTCCGTAAAAATGTCAAGAGTGCGTGTGATGCAGGAGCTCACTGCGGCAGGAATGTCGCTTCGGAAAATGGACGTGCTATCTAATGGAATGACGAAGCGACAACCGCCATAACCATAAGATGTGAGTCGAAAATCCAGAGATGATCCTCTCAGCTCTTGCGTTGGTGCTAGTGAGAAATCGAAGGCGATGCAAACATTCTTACCACGGTATTTCTTTGCGACCGCACCACACAAAGTACCGACCGTGTTCGAATACAGAATAACAACTTTTTTTGCTTTCAGGCTCTGTTTAGCGCCGATGTTACGGAAATCATGGACTTCATCTTGTAGAAATGTGTTGACAAAAACTGTGTTCGGTTTTCTAGCAAGACAATGAGAAAGATATATCTGAGCAGCAACAGTTTCCAAATCGGTGTTCGTATAGGAAGACGGTATCGAGGCCAAAACACTCAGAATCTGCTTGCGGTGTTCTTCGAGTTTCGCAGTACTGAGGTGATCGTCGTCAGCTTCAATCGCTTCGACGCAATGCGATACGCAAAGACTGACTCTAACAGCAACATCCATTTTGTGAAAGACACAGGCCTTGCTCATATGGGCTGTTGCACCTGCGAATCCGAACAAATCGCCGATCTTCAGAAGATATGCTCGGGTAGATGCTTTGATGGAACAGGAGTGGAAATCAAAAACTGTTGCACGTGGTCTCTTCGGAAAGCGCTGGAATACCGCTGCGCAAATGGATCCGTATCGGTTGTTGTAAAAACAACCAAAGTGGAAGTACAGTCGTGTGCAGACCTAACATAAACACCTGATGGTAATGGTTCTTCCAAGCGAACTTTTATGAAATGAACATCAGTTAGTTCGCAAAAGGTTACACGCAGCACAAACATGAGCTCTTCAACGGTGAAGGAGTTCTGAGTATCAGTCATCTGCGATATTGCTGTGTTCTGAAAAGAAGTTTCCACACTCGTTGATGGGGTCGCAAATGCTTCATTGTTCATTATTTCTATCGTTGACGCATTTGAGTCGGTCCGTCATCCATCACTTCAACCGCCTGTTCGATGAACACCAAAGTGTAACGTGTGGTAAGCAAATACTCAAATATTCGAGGAAGACGCACAGAGCCAGCATTGACAGTATCGGGAACAGCAAAACAATCTCTGAGGCAGCGATCTATCTTTCTTCTAGCAGATTGTAGGAAACAAGGTGAAGCTTCCTCCGCCTTGGTTCGCTCTCCTCTACTAAGGCGTTCAGCATAAATGCAGATGAAAACACCACAGCTGAACCCGTCACGCTGTGCATGTACAAAATTCCTTCCAGCGATTTCCAAATGTAGTAAAGGAGAATCAGTTATTTAGCTCCACATCCTTCTAAGCTCTGGCTCCCTCGCTTCGAAATTCTCGGCAGAGTAGTCGTAACAGTGTGCATATGAGTAGTACACAAGAGCAGTGGACGATGTTGTATCGCATACAACTAACCCCCAATGCCTTCCACCACACATATGAAGAGGAAGATAGCAAACTCGGTCCTTTAGGGGATAATTGGGGATTTTGAAGGAAAAATTTGTTAGCTTCAACAAAGGGTCAATCACAATAATATCGCTGTTTCGAGTCACGTACAGGAGGTAAGCGTATATTTCTTCATCTCCAAGCCATTGCTCCCCACTTAATCTACCCACAGCAGACTCATCAAGATGGCATCGAAATGTGTGTCCTTCGTCATCAACGAGCTGCAGCTCACTATCACGTAAGCTTAAGTCTACAAATGAATTCGAGTAAAATCTATCAAGCTCAACATTGATGCCTGGTTCCATTTCTGCCGGATACCGTTTGATGAACTGCGGTGAATTATCACAATTGTATTACACTTCTAAAAATTGGGGCATACTTCTCGACATACGCGTCTTACGTTCCGGACGCTGTAAAGCGGTGCGTGTGCGCAGCGTACTTTGGTACGGGTGAATACGCTGGTACCGCTTTCGTGAGAAACCGTGTTTAAGAGAATTTCATCGCTTATGAGTTGATATTTGGTTGATAAAGGAGGATGTCTACAAGACTCTGGCTTATGTTCCTGTAGGGGTCTGGCAATCCGCAAAGGTTAGGTAGAAAGAAGTGTTACGTTCATCATTTTAGGTCAGTTATATTTGTTGAAAGAATTGATATTGTTTGAGTAACTATCATCTGCAGACCCATTTCAGTCGGCATACCATCATCATAACTTATAATAACGGGCTAAGGGTGTTTACGTGACTTTGTGTGTGTGTCTGTCTGTCTGTCTGTAACGAAATTCATACAGCGGGTTCCAGTCAACATCCAGAGCTCAAATTTTGCATAGCGCATGCTACCAACGTAGAACTCCACCATGCAAAAGCACGAACGGATTCGCTAGGTGGATCCCTCAGAATTTGCGCGTCAAACGGATCCACTTGGCTTCTGGCCCGCAAAATTGGGTCCGTAACAACGCTTTTTGCAAAGCCGTGGATGTGTTTAGCAGGTTGATGTGTAAGTCATGGACTTTGGACCAAAAAGTGACCAAAGGTTTGCTAATTTACGAAAACGACGCCAAAAAAGAAGTGTTCGCGTGAATGGTCAATCCGCCATGGATTTACCTGAGCATTTGAGAAGATTTTTGCATAGAGATGTAGCTCACGGTAACTATTGTCCTCATGGCGACTACCAAGCCAAAAAAAGTTTCAAGACCTATTCAAACTTGCATTTGTTCTTCTGCAAAAAAGTTACATCCACGCGAAATCACCGATCTTACATAAAAAAGCTTCTAGAATGAATATTGTTTACATTTTATTCGCGATAGTCAGCATTGCGCGGTGAGTTTCAAAGCCATTATTAGGCAAGAATAAGTAAGGCATAACCAGTGCGAGCCTCTGCGAAGCAGAGGTGACGCACTGGTGAATAATAAGCGGCTTAATCTGAAGTTGTGTGGAGTTTGTCCGTTACGAAATTACAGTGAGGAATGATTTACGATACTAAACACTATGTGAGGTTAAGATAGCGAGTATGGTTCATTTTTAACTACGGCTCACTTTGCAATAAGCCGAACAATGATTTGAGAGACAAGCTCTCAGAAAGTGAGTTTACCACGGTTCACGATGCCAGTGCGAACCTCTGCGAAGCAGAGGTGAAGCACTGGTCACTTAAATCGGGCTAGCACCATCCGTGATCAAACAAAAAGTGATACAAAAGGCCAGTTTAAGCGGAATGCTGAATGCTATGCTCATTACTTACAACACTTGTTCACCTAGAGCCTTGATTTGAAGACGCATTCATGAAAGTTTATCTTAACAAGCAAGGTTTAACTTTTTTTTTCGTTGGTAAATGGGATTGCAAGATTCCATTCTTTTAAAGGCAGCGTCCAGGCAAAATTTCGAACAAAACTTTTTTCGCTTACCTGGGCTTATTCTTCCCGCTGATTGCGAAAATGCAGCTTGCAGAGTATGAAAACGTCGAAAATGGGCTACTCCAGAGGCTGTTTATTTTGAATATGGAAGCTTGCCGCCGAGGTTGAGACGCAGAGTCGCGATGGGACCCTACGCCTTGACTGTGTGCGACATACGCGTACTCTGGCTATCGATTGAGGGGCGGGCATGTCGTCGGGGCGTCCGTGTCGCCACTTCTGAAGCGGTTTTCTCACTTCAGAAGCAAATTAGTGCGCTGCCAGTTGGGCAAGGGCTTTACCAGGGTGGAAGCTCCTGTATGTCAAAATTTCATATCTGCCCGGACGCTGCCTTTAAACGGCAAGCTTGATATGACCAAACTATATCCGGTTTTGATTTTACTTCACCACTGATGGATCAAGGAGCAGTTTCTAACTTGTATGATTTGATCAACTGTTCGTGAGCACCTTATCGATAACAACATTCAATTATAAAAAGGCTTGCACTCCTATGTTTCGGACACATGCTGTGAAAAACCTACGTATTCTCTCCGACGAAAGTCTCACCACAAATTCGTCCCTACATCTTGCAAAGCACGCATCAATGTTGAATATCGATTCAAGACGGATGTGCAAGAATCCTTAGTTACGCTGCCATCAACCGTATGCCATCAAGCAAAGAATCTTTTGCTAATGGTAAGAAATGTATGCAAAGATTTAATTACACGGCACAACTCTGTGCAAAGAATCACAAGTTCACAGGGGTTAGCGTGCCCCGGAAGCATGAGCCATGCGCGCAATGCGTTGAGTCATGGCGCGCGCTTGCGCAACCATTGTAAATTCAGTGTATGTATGCGGATGAAGTATGGCGCGGACCATGGGTTTCGGATGATTATCATGTGTGTGCACAGACTGTCCACCTTTGACTTTGTTTTTCTTTTTTAGGTGGTAATTACCTCAAGTTGATGTAAGCGATAGCAATCAATTAGCTTCTTGCGGTTTCACGATGGCAACTGCAGGAGGAGGACATTAGAGGTGGCCGTGTGTGCGATGCACCACATGATTACATGGAAAGATTCAAGTGTTCATAATAACACGTATTTACAGAGCGGGGGAAGCAATAAGATGGAAGGAGGGAGGGTTGCGCGCTAGGGTAATGATGCGTGATCGCGGCAGCTGAGGGATCGCAGCCACATTCGTTCATCAAGCTTTCTTAGTTTTTTTTCTTTTTGGAACGCTTTTCCGCTGCCAAATGATATCGACTACCGGAGGCGGCTTTGAAAAAGTCCTGGGTAGTTCAATCTGAGGCACCGGACCTTGCAATCAAAGGCGCAACATGCAGTCCCTGGACAATGGTTGGCGTGCCGCTATTGCTCAACAGGAATGGCTGCGGCCTTGGTCCTGTTTGTTCTCGGTGTGCTTAATCACTTGATAAGCAAACCTACAACTGCATGCGGAACAAAATTCGAATTTCGTTTTCAAATCAAAACCCGCGTGAAAATTTCAGGCGTGGAACGTTGTGTGCAATGCATCACACGATTATACGAAAGGATTCAAGTGTTCGTGATAACATTTACTGAGTGAGGGAATCAATAAAGTAGAAACGGAAAGGATTGCGTGCTACGGTAATGCGTGATTACGACATTGTATGGTTCGTGGTCACATTCGCTCATTAAGCTTTATCGTTTTTTCCTTTTTGAATGCTTTTCTGCTAGCAGATGTTAGATATCAATTACCGGAAGCGTTGAAAAGTACTGGATTGAGACCTTAAGCCCCTGCATTCTGTGGCGCAACACCCAGTCCGCGGACATTGGCTGGCATGCCGCTGTTGCTACAGGAATAGCTGCGGCCTTGCTCCTCTCCGTTTTCGTTGTATGATCAGCTCCCAGATTCATGTGGAGGTGTATTGCAGACTTTGCCTGATAACACATGTAAACTTGCTAAACCTCCACGTCATAGCATTGCTTTTCGTAATCTCTCGCTAACAAAAACCGCCACGCAGTGAGTTGGCAAGACTCCGCCTCCAAACGAATCTGGGAGCCGATGATACTTAATACAGAATCACTTACCAGGGAGGAACCTAGAGTCAAAATCAGATTTCTAAACGAAATATATACCACTTTGAAAGACATCGAACGCCGTTCCCAAAACCGTTCTGTTTTTTTTGCCAAGCCCTC